AAAATTTTGAGTTAAATTCAAAAAACTGAATTTAAAGTCAGAATTATCAAATTGGCTATAAATTTTAAAGAAGGACTTAAAAAACTGCTCAAAAATACATGATACCAAAGTTCTTAATCAAGATGATACTATAAGTATATTTTTATCCAATAAAATGAAAATAATATAGAAATAATAGTATAAAATATATTATTTCAGAAAATGAATGAAATTTTAAATATAACAAATTGATTTTATAAATGCACGCATAGAAAGGGTTTGCTGTGGCAGCGAACATTTTGCTGCCACAGCAAACCTTGTTCGTTGAAATACCCGGTAAGAAGTAAGGAATTGAGAAGAATTGGACATTTTTTAACTTTTTACAGAAAATGTTAAATTATCAATTTTTTTGAATTCCGTTTCTGTCCAATTCCTATGTATTCCTTTTTGAGGCAAAGATTTCTTGAAAGTGAATTCCAATCAACTCCGTTTTAATATTTCTTTAATTTTTTAATTTTTGTGAATTCCGAAATACTGTGTGATACACCGAAAAAATGCCTAGGACCCGTATACCAGGAATTGACTAGGTTTCCTAGTTACGAGAGGAGCCAACTATAGAATCCTGGTCAAAGTAATAAGATTCAAGCATAGTTAAAGTGACCAGGAAAATTAGTCGATGTATTCAGGAAAAAATAGTCAAATTGACTAGGAGAATAATATTAGATTTACACTGTGTATCATAATTATTTAAAATTGCTAATCAAATTCTTATTATCAAATAAAAGAGAAAAACTAATTAAAAGAAAAAAGAAAAAAATTAATTATTATATTTGAACATATTTATATTTGACTTTGTATTTATATACCTTAGAATTAATTTAAACTTATGAAATAAATATTTGACGCAGGGGGGACGCGAACACCTGAACCTAACGAATACGCACTTTGAAACCCGGAACGATAACCACTACACTAAACACGACTTGGTATTTTAATTTTTTAATAGACACTAGATTTTCGAGTCAAAATACAATACTTAATCAGATGATGTTTTATACATTTCAAGTACACAATTTTATACACTTGTCAAAAACTATTTATTTTTAATTATTTATGACATTCAAATGAAAATAAATTTAAATACACAAATTATTGCAAAGGTAAATTTTCAAACACACTGCGCGATTAAAATAGTAAAAATGTTGTCACCACGTGCGTAAAAATTTCGACGATTTATATTGAAACTTAACCAAAAAAGTCTGAAAGAATTGCCTAATATAATTAAATAGTTTACTTTCTAAAACATGGACTATCTATATTTCCAGAGGTTCCGAGAAACCAGCAATTTTGATGTATGTAAGAACTCCATTTTATGTACAAAAAATAGACGCGAGTAATGATAAAAAATCGTTTTACGAAATCACGATAAATGACGCGAAAGATATAGAGGTAAACACTGTCAAAACAGAAGCAGACGCGTGCGCATTATGGAAATAGGCAAAATTACTAAAATCCTAGTCAATTTGACTAGGATTTGCAGGGTTGTTTTTGCCAGGCTTGAATTTGTTGAATCAACCTAACGATCCTAACCATAATGATTAGGAATCCTTATTACTTTTACTAGATTAAGATTAACTATAGAGTCATAGTTAATAATACTATCGAGATTTTTTTCGGTGTACTCGGTAAGTTCAATTCCTGTCTATTCCGTTTTAATATTTTGTAATTTTTAATTCCTTTGAAGTTTGCAACACTTTGAGATAAGTGCTTCTAAAATTCGGTAGTCATAGTACAGTTTAACCCCTTGGCTGTCAACGAGATTTCCACTGTTTGGGCCAAAAGTGTGTTGAAAACATTTTTAATGGATTTTTTTGAAACTTGGTACCCCAAGGTTTCTGGGCTCGCTGATTACGAATCTGACATCAGTTTTTCGAAATTCAAAATGGCGGATCCAAGATGGCGGAATTTTTTCAAAATTCGTCCGTCGAATCTGCTTAAAACTTGTTACTCGGGGGTTTTAAGGGTCGCTGATTACGAATCTAACATTAGTTTTCCAAAATTCAAAATGGCGGATCCAATATGGCGGACAACTAAATAAAAAATTGATCAGATCGGGTTGAAACTGAGTACTTGGGGGTTTTCAGGGTCGCTAATTACGAATCTGAAATCAGTTTTTTAAAATTCAAAATATCTGGTTTAATATGGCGGAAAATTTTTAAAAATTTATTGAATTTGTTTAAAACTGGTTAATCTGACATCAGTATGATAATTTTTGGTGAAATCAAATTTCGATAAATACCCTGAAAAAATAATGACAGATTCGTAATCAGCGACCCTAAAAACCCCCGAGTATTCAGTTTCAATCCATTATAATTAATTTTTTATTTTGCCGTCCGCCATATTGAATCCGCCATTTTGAATTTTGGAAAACTAATGTTAGATTCGTAATCAGCGACCCTTAAAACCTCCGAGTAACAAGTTTCAAGAAAATTCGACAAATTTTAAAAAAATCCCGCCATCTTGGATCCGCCATTTTGAATTTTGAAAAACTGATGTCAGATTCGTAATCAGCGCCCCCAAAAACCCCCGAGTACTACGTTTCAAGTCAATCTGATCAATTTTTTATTTTGTTGTCCGCCATATTGGATCCACCATTTTGAATTTTGGAAAACGAATGTCATATTCGTAATCAGCGATCTCGAAAACCCCCGAGTAACCGGTTTCAGGAACATTTAAGAAGTTTTTAATCACCTTTTTTAAGTTGCGCATATATGCGTCATGAACCACTTTTGGCCAGTTTAGTTTTGTTTCTCCAAATGAAAATGAAAAGAATTGGTCACAAAGGAATTCAAAAGAATTAAAAATTTCGAATTCTTATTAATTCCTTACTTCTTACTGGGTAGGGACAGCGAAAAAGTTCGCTATGACAGCAAACTCGCATTAGTTTTTACTTATGTTTGCTGTCACAGCTAACATTTTCGCTGCCACAACAAACATCTGTTTACTGCTGCAGCTAATTTATTTTTTTCCGTGTGAAAAATTTAGTTTTGAAATTTACAATTGATATATTAATATATAGATAACTTTTGAAATTATACGTGCTTTTCATATAAGTTAAATTCGCTATTCAAAAAACTGTTTCTTTTATTCGAATCTCTCTGAATAAATTCTCTTTCAAATTCTTTTGAACTGATGGTTCCCCTTTGTTCGTTATAATTTCTACATGAAAAATATTTCTTTTTATACAGTTTTAAAATGAAACTGAAACTTGAATGTGGAGAAAAGAGGGACTTACCAATCGCTAATTATATATCCATCGAAGTTACTTCTACTTCTAAATAGTTGGAAAAATTGTAAAATCTATGATGAAATCGTGCACAGAAACGCCACTTACTCCAGGCCAAAAAAAAGAACAGTGTTCTAGAATAAGTGTTACAATTTTATTATAGAACTGTTCTAGAGCTTTGTTCTAAATTTGTTCTGGAACAGTTGTTCTGTATCTGTTCTATAACAGACATGTAACATTTGTTCTAAATTAGTTATAGAATTTTGAAGTAACATTGTTCCTACAGTGTTCTAAAACACTGTTACAAAAATTTAATATAACTGTTCTTTCACTATAAACTCGTGTTTGTTTTCACTACACGGAAAGATATTATTAAATTTTATAAAAGTATTTTACAAGTGTAGGACAAAATGCGACAAAGGAAAATTTTGCTATTAACAAAACTAACACAGTAAATCTTAATTTAAGATCGGTCTTAAATTCAGCACTGTCTGCTATAATGTTAAAGGATACAAAATAGTACATTGCGTAACAAGTGTGAACTAGCGGCCTTTTTGGAACGAGCGCTAAGTTTCACCGGAGACGAGTTACGAAAAAGAAGCGCGAGTTCCAAAATGCCGCCACACGTGTTGCGCACGATACTTTTCATAACAAAATCATAAAAAGGCGTTGACACTGAAACACATAAATATAACTGAAAAGAATGTTGAGAAACGCATACAGAAGATTCGGAACACAGAACCACTGTCAAGCGTACTTACTAGCTGATCGCGCGGGGGGGTTCGGGGGGCGAAGCCCCCCGACTACAAAAAAACCAACTCAAAAGAATAATAATAATATTCGACATTTCAAAGAATCGCATTTTATAATACCCCAAGCCACCGGACGCGTCGGGGGGCGAAGCCCCCCGAAACCTAGTCGTGTACTTCGACGTATTAATAAAAATAATATCATTAAAGAATAAAAACAGAATTTTTCACACGAGTGATCACGAAAAATAGGTTAGAAACTCTCAGTATTTGACAGATACTGTGTTGCTGCTGTAAGACACGGTAAATGTAGTTAACTGAACGAAAACATAATCACGCCTCTTCTGGACGGAATTGCAACTACTCGAGCGTTACAAAAATACTCGAACAAGCACAAACAAAGCTCTTTTTTGAACTGAACTGTCATTCGCAGTATTTTCGTAACTACGTACTAAAAAGAATAACTTTACATTCGCCTACGGAGAGACAAATAACGCCATTTTTATGATTGCGTTATGAAAATTGTTTAAAATGTTGGAAATTAAATTTGTTACGTTTCTATCAAAACAAATTTTTTCCGTCGGATTCTTCCTTTTATAGCAGGAGCGTAGTCACAAAAATGTTTCGGGGGGGATGTTTTATGAAAATTGATGAGAAGTCAGAGATGTACTGAGAAGAAAAGTAGCATAAATGTTTATTCCCAGAATTCTAGGGTGGAGGGTTCAACCCCTATAAAGCCCCCTTGGCTACGCCCCTGTTTTAAAGATTTAAATCAGTGAAAGGCGAGTCTACATTGAGAGAAGGTGCGCATTTATGTTCATAGCTATAGGTATACCACAGCATGCTTTAGTATACCTATAGCTATGAACATAAATGCGCACCTTCTCTCAATGTAGACTCACCTTGATAAAGTGGAAGAATTTTATCTTTTCAATGTCACTGTAATTCTTTTTCTGTAACTGGTGGGAGAAACTTGGCAACGTATACGGCACTGAGCCGGCGGAATCCGTATCACACGAATCACAGACTAACCATATCCAGATTATTTTTGTTTTATCTTCCGGGAAGGCAGGAAGATCGTAAAGTATCGAAAAGATTATCAATCAATTTTATTAAGTAACAATAATATTACTTATGAAATAAACAGTTATCGTGAAAATAAAAAGGGCAGAAAAGTAAGTGAAGAATTTCTTTTTGAATAACTAATGTAAACAAAGCATGAAAAGCTATTTTTTTAATTTTTAAAATAGATTGTTTTGATTGATTTTGCACGCAGAAACCTGTTGCTCTAGTAGAAAGTGTAAAATTTCAAGGTCAACGGTTTTAATTTTACAATAGAATTTAATGATCATACTCTAATTAATAGTAATCTTAGGAAACCTTGACTATTATTTTATTTATGTTATACTATTCCATTGAAATAATAGTTTGAAATTTTAATTATTTTATTTTATAGTTTCGCGGAAATCAGGTTAGTGAATCTCCAAAAATTCAACGTCTTTATACTCTTTAATTCTGAATAAGTAAAGACTCTCCCACGTAAAAAAATAAGTGCATATAGACTTGAAATAAGTGAAATTTCACCTATTTTAAATATATATATATATATATATATATATATATATATATGGGGCATTCCACGCCAAGTCGGACACCTTTTGACTTTTGCATCTCCGATTTTTTTCAAATATTTTTTTTCTTTTAGTGCTCGTTGAAATGAGCTACCATGATTTTTTTCAAATTTATTCATTAAGCGGTTTAAGAGATACAGGTTTTTGAAAAATCACGTTTTTTACGTAAATTTTTTTCTGAAATGCTTATAACTCGGACAAAAATTGATCAATTTTGACGTTCGATATATGAAAATTTTTGTTTTTACACGTAGTTTTTGATAAAAATATTAAAATTTTTTTTTTTTAAATTTACCAAAAAAAATTTAAATTTTAAAAATAAAATTTAATTTTTAAGAATGTATGTATCGATCGATTTTTTTCAAAATTTTTTGTGAGAAACTGGTACTAAATTAAGAATTTTTAAGCATAGTCTGATGATGGGCAAACGATGGGATCTATTTGTTTCTGATTTTTCAATTTTTATATTTATAGCTAAAAGTATGAAAAATGAATTACAAGACGTTCAGGATATTAATTACTTTATTGTAATTTTGAGAAAGCATATTCATATGTAGAAAAACATTTAATTTCGTGACCGTTTAAATATTTTAAAGGTTTGAGATGTAGCGGATGAACGCAGCGCGTAAAATAGAAAAAGGCCAACGCACAATGAAATCTTAAGGCTGGAGTCCCATGCCAGCGTTTTGCGTTGCGTTTTGTAACTAGGCCATGAGTGTGAGAGAGATACAGATATATGTTTGCTTTATTTGCACTCATTGCCTAGTTACAAAACGCAACGCAAAACGGTACCATGGGACTCCAGCCTAAGACGTGAACTTATAACAAAACAATGAGATAGAAGAGGACAGGAGCTTTGTCTGTCCTTCTCTATCGCATTCTTACGATAATTCATTCATTTTTCATACTTTTAGCTATAAATATAAAAATTGAAAAATCAGAAACAAATAGATCCCATCGTTTGCCCATCATCAGACTATGCTTAAAAATTCTTAATTTAGTACCAGTTTCTCACAAAAAATTTTGAAAAAAATCGATCGATACATACATTCTTAAAAATTAAATTTTATTTTTAAAATTTAAATTTTTTTTGGTAAATTTAAAAAAAAAAAATTTTAATATTTTTATCAAAAACTACGTGTAAAAACAAAAATTTTCATATATCGAACGTCAAAATTGATCAATTTTTGTCCGAGTTTAAGCATTTCAGAAAAAAATTTACGTAAAAAAACGTGATTTTTCAAAAACCTGTATCTCTTAAACCGCTTGATGAAAAAATTTGAAAAAAATCATGGTAGCTCATTTCAACGAGCACTAAAAGAAAAAAAATATTTGAAAAAAATCGGAGATGCAAAAGTCAAAAGGTGTCCGACTTGGCGTGGAATGCCCCATATATATATATATATATATATATATATATATATATATATATATATATATATATATGACGGGTTCCACGTCAAGTGATCCAGGTCAAAAATTTACATGGAATATTTGAAAAATTTGTATTTTCTGTAAAACAAAACGAAAATACGTTTTCTATTTTGGGTTTTGCTGCTGTTTTTCAACACTTTCTAATGGTGTAAACAAATGTAGAGAAAAAAAATGTTTGACCTTGAAAAATTAAATTAAAAAATAAAATTTCATTTTTTTATCAAATGGGCAGTTTTTATTTTTTTAAAAAAAAATTTATCATAAAGGTGAGGTTTTTTCCTAAAAAAAATGTATAGGTCAAAACGTGGGACAAGAACTTTTAACTGGTCAAATTAAGCATTTACTTCTGCCGTGCACCGTCCCACAGTGGAATTTTTTTTACAATTTACTATTAAAAAATGTCTATAGCTTACAATTTTTAACCGATTTGAGTGTTCTTTGTCTTAAATTAAAGGGGAATAAATTCTTAAGACATCCTTCGAGGCCGATTTTGGAGATTTTAATTATTTATAATTTTTTTTAAGTCAAAGTTAACAAATTAATACACTTTTTTAAAAAAGGAGGTTTATTTTCTTATTCCGTTGATGCACATGATCTAAATAAATTTAAATTCATCCAATATGACCACCAGATAATTAATAAAGCATAAAATAATTTATTAAAATTGTTATAAACAATATATAGCCCAACAACGCGCAGGGGCGGTGGATTGCAGAAGTAAATGTTTATTTTGACCAGTTAAAAGTTCTTGTCCCACGTTTTGACCTATACATTTTTTTTAGGAAAAAACCTCACCTTTATGATAAAAATTTTTTTTTAAAAATAAAAACTGTCCATTTGAAGAAAAAATGAAATTTTATGTTTTAATTTAATTTTTCAAGGTCAAACATTTTTTTTCTCTACATTTGTTTACACCATTAGAAAGTGTTGAAAAGCATCAGAAGAACCCAAAATAGAAAACGTATTTTCGTTTTGTTTTAAAGAAACTACAAATTTTTCAAATATTCCATGTTAGACCAAAAATTTAAACTTTGACCCCCTCCAGTTTTTATATTTGTTTAAATAAATTAATAATATTTGGTATTTTTAATTGTATCTAATAGGACTATTGTTTCTGCAAAATTTTTACCCGATCCCAAACATTTAAAATTTTGACCTGGGTCACTTAACGTGGAACCCGTCATATATATATGCACTAATTTTTACGTTTAAGACTTGAAACAGGAATAAGTGCATAATTATTTAGATTTAGAGAGATAGTATATTCTATTGAGATTGAATGTTTAGTATTTATTAATATGAAATATTGAAATTGTCTTTGTTTTGCAGAAAAATATCGAAAATGAAATTTTTGGGAAAAGTTGTATTAATAACTGGAGCCAGTTCTGGAATTGGTGCAGCAACAGCAATTCTTATGTCAGAATTAGGAGCATCACTGGCTTTAACAGGACGTAATCTTAATAATTTGCAAGATGTCGCAAACAAATGTAAAGATCCAAAGCCATTCATTATCACTGGAGAGATAACAAACGAGAATGATGTTAAAAACATCTTAGATTCAACTATCACACATTATGGAAAATTAGATGTTTTAATTAACAATGCTGGGACATTAGAAAGCGGAAGCATTGAAAATACAAGTTTGGAACAATATGATAGGTATTTTAAATTTCGAATTAATTAATCAGTCAGTCAATTAATTATTTAATTAATCTTTATTTCAACGTATACTTTTATTTGCTCGTTGGAAAACATATTTTTTTAATTTCTAAAATAACTTTTCAGAGTGTTCAACACTAATGTGCGTTCAATATATCAACTGACGATGCTGGCTGTTCCTCATTTAATCCAGACGAAGGGAAATATTGTTAACGTCTCAAGTGTCAATGGCATAAGATCATTCCCAGGAGTTTTGTCATACTGCATGAGTAAATCGGCTGTGGATCAACTAACACGATGTGTTGCTCTAGAACTTGCATCAAAACAGGTGATTAATCATTTTCTAAATATTTGCACATTCTCATCATAATGAAAGTTAAAAATTGGTTTCTGAATACCTGATTGGCCTGCCTCCTTATGACTTTATGGATGATTTTTTTCTGATTATTTTCAAAAAAGGCAATATTTTTTACTTTTCTTACAAACATTGAAGTAACAGGGTTGCCACAGGTCAGGGAATTCAGAGAAAAGTTTGAGAAAAACAAAATTATATTTTTGTGGCAACCCTGAGCCAACCACATTTTGGCATAAAATTGTGTAAAAAATAACAGAAGTCAAATCTATTAAAAAATTTTTCTGAATTATTTTTTTAACATTAGTTACATTTTTTAAAAAATGGAATTAAAAAGTTTTTAATAATTTAAATTTTGTAACATTTTATTGAAAATAATTGCTTTTACTTGAGTATTTCATTAAAATTTTGAAGAATTTTAATTAGTACAAATTTTAAAAATGATTGAATTTTTAAAAGTTTTATTGAAAAATATTCAAATGAAAATTTGAAAATAAAAATTAGCTTTAAAAAATTATATTATATATAATGTTTTTTAACCCTCCATCACACATCTTAGAAATAATTACACCATTACATTTAGAGGGAATCCCTCACCACATTGTAAAATAAGCGACATTACAACATTCTGATATCATTCAAGCTGACGGATTTAAATTCTTCAACAAGGGAGCTTGGCATCAATTTTTCTATGTATTTTAGGTGATACCTATGTTCGAGTAACCGACTATTTATTTCACTGCCATCGGATTCCTTGTTTTCTTACTATCGAGCTCTTTGAAATCGAAAGCATCTGAAGAAAAGGGACTTAAGCCGCATTTCGCAAATCCATGTTTCATTATTTCTGGAATTTCTAATCTGTCAATTGCTGTTTTCAGGAGAGGAGCGACGTTTTCTTTTTCAAATAACTCAAATCCGTAATCCAATCTCCATTGATCGAGAATGGCTTTCCATAAAGCTTTGAATGGTCGAAAAAAGGCAACATCCAACGGCTGTAAAACATGTGTTGCGTTGGGAAATAGCGAAATAAGTTCAATTTTGTGATCTCTGCAAAATGACACAAGTGGTAAAGTGATATGCGACGAATGTCCATCTAGGTAAACAATGATTGGAAATTCGAGTTGTTTTTTTATTGCCCAAGGATAAAGCACATTGGTTACATATTCATAAAAGGATTCTGACGTCATCCCACCGTTTTCAGTATTTCCAACACTCCATCCTTCGGGTATTTTTCGTCCAATACTGGCCGGAAACCTTTGGTAGGAAAAAAGAATCATCGGTGGAGCCATTTCTCCGACAGCATTAATAGTGAATAAAATAGTAATGCTTTCCTTTTCGTTGCCACCGACTACTTTGTGAACAGATTTTGTCCCTTTCTTTGTTAAAACGTAACCAGCCTTCGGACAGGGGCTAAAACCACTTTCGTCAAGATTTAAGGAGGTTAAAGTTTTGAACGTTCAAATGAACGAAATTTATTTATTTCTTCTTCAAATTAAATTTTTATTACTTTAATTTTGCGTCACTATTAAGCAAATTAATTATAATGTTTCTAAATGTAAAATTTGAGTTTTTAATTTGAATTGTAATTAATAATCTATGAAAATATTTTTAACAAAAAATATTTCGTTCATTTGAACGTTCAAAACTTTTTGTTCCTAAGATTTATTATTCTTGATGGATGAATATTTTTTAAATTCTTGCTGTCCAAATATTCTTCCACTTCATTAAACCAACTTTTCAATCTTTCTGGTGTTGCGAGTGCTCGACACTTGGATAAGTTCTGAGCCATCCTTTTTGACAAATCAGGGTGTCGTCGACAAAATGCTTTATACCAGTGTCTTCTAGGACGGTCATTTGTGAAAGGATTTTATCTTTCCTGGCTGATAATGTATTTGCGAACTGTATCCAATAATTGATCCTTATTTACTGGAAATCCCCGGTCGTAACAATAAAATATCCAGTTAAGAATGTATAATTCTTCTTCTGCCGACAAGATTGTCGATGGTCCAGAACGCGCTGCTTCGATATGGGAATTATATTTTTATATTTACAAAAAAGAGTACTTTTGGGGATATTATACTCTTTTGCAACATGTGAAATTGACATTTTCTTAATTTTATGTCATCAAGCGCGCTATTGATATCCTCCTGTGAATAACTCTTTACCTGTGTGGGTTTCCCCATGTCGAAAGTTTTCGTTTCTGGAATAATATTATTGGGGTTTTATCAAGTCCAATTTAAATAGATTAAGTAAAACTATTATATTATAAATATTAAATACTAGTGTTATTAATCGTTACATAGATTTTTGGAAGGGTGGCCAATAAATTATAACATTAAATTAAATATATACTTACATCTTTACGTTTAGACAGGTTATTTTTATTTTCGAAACATCTGTCAAATTCACCGTGTAACAACTGGGAAATGAAAAAATAATAAACAAACCCAGTCGCTGAACGCTACGTTCAGGCACTAGTACACTTATTATTTTCACGTACGAGTTGATAAATTCTTAATTTTATAATAAAATAGGGGGAAAAACGAATTATCATTTACAATATGCATTTTATATACAATCATAATGAGTATAAAACTATGGCGAACATTAATTTCAGTCAGGTAATAAATATTTTATTATTCAGGGTGTCTAGCGTCCGGGAAAACCGGGAATTTGCCGGGAATTTAGTTCGACCGGGAAAAACCCGGGAAATTGCCGGGAATTGAAAAAAATATCCGGGAATTTTTGGAAATTTTCTCTAATTCATTAAAATCTATAAAAAAAATTTCAATTTAAGGTAGTTCTCCGGCTGCTACTCTTTTAAAAATTGATTTTCGATAGATTTTCTTCAAATTTTGAGGAAATATTTCTTCGGATGCCTTTTAAATGTGATAGAAACTTCAAAACCTTTTGCCATGTCAAAAAACGAGATATTGTGGTTGACATTTTTTATTTTTAACATAAACGCATGGAAAAGTGAAAGTTTGAACTTGAATAAGTCAAAATTTAGCATCGCAAAGGGTTTTGAAATTTTTACCACATTTAAAAGGCACCAAAAGAAACATTTCCTCAAGAAGAAAATAAATTTTTACAAGAGTAGAAGCCAGAGAACTACCTTCAGTCTTATATTTTTCAAAAATGAAAAAAGATATATTATAAGTATATAGGCAATTTCACGTTAAATTTCAGTCCACATTTTCAATTAGGATGAAAATATATTATTGTAAATATATTTTTTCATTTTTTATAGGTAACCAAATTTTTGGATTTTTAAAAATAGACTCTAAAATCTATAACTCTAAAACTATTGAATTTAGAAAACTTATCTAATACATACTTACAAATAATAAGGATAGTTTGCAAAAAATATTTTGGTCCCCCTATAGAATAGAAAAATAAAGGATACGTATACCTTTTTTCTAAAAGGAATAAATAAAATATAAAGTAAAGAAGAAGAAGAAGAAGAAGGAAATCTTTACTTTTCTTTACTTTATTATACTTGGCTTAAAATGAAAAAGGAGTTATACACTCCATATACTATAAATAAAATATACTTGTGACGTAGAATTGACCGTATATTATTATTATTTATATAATTGTTGCATACATTTTTAACATTTTAAAGACTTCAATTAAAAGTTTAATTATAAATCCTAATATTTTTAACTTATTGCAGTTGAACCTCAGTGACTTTTAATGTAAATATCTAAAAGAAGACATAAATGCCATTGGGTATTGCAAAATAATTCAAAAATAATCATTTATCCACAAATATAAAAAAAATAATTGCAATTTCTATTATTTGAACTTTTGATTATCTGAACCAGATCCTGCCTGAATTAGTTCGTATAATTCAGTTTCCACTGTATTTAAAAAATTATGAAATTTTAATAGTATAGTCATTAATGTCTTAAAAATAAATCCGGGAATAATTTATTTTTAGGTCCGGGAAAACCGGGATTTTGCCGGGAATTTGAAAATCATAATTCGCTAGACACCCTGTATTATTCGAAACTTAAGCAATGTCTAACGAAAAAAATAAAAAATGGTCGCTCAAACGATGGATTCATGAACATGTGCGAATAAATAATTTTTTGTAAGAAAATGAAAATCTAATATTCAAGAAATTTATATTATTTGACAACCTCAAACATTTATCTTTTCATAAAATATAATTTTAAATATAAAAATTCAAAATAGTTCTTATTTTTACTTAATTTATCAATAAACAAATAACAGTTCAGCCACTGGTACACGTGCGGCGACCTTAATATAGTTACCTTAATATAGTTTTTTAAAAAGTATCAGATTCCGCTGGTCATTTTAGACAATCATGTTGTATTTGCCTCAAACAGTTAAGTGGGTATACCCACTTAAGACTCGCTAAAAAAGGCTATTTTTTATTATGTGTAAAAACACATAATTAAATAAACTCTCGAAGTGTAAAAAAAACAGTTTTCATTTTTTTAAATATTCTTTTTTTATTTAAAAATAATTATTGAAAAATATGTTTAAAAAGTGCGCCGTTGATGAAATTTTTGGCATGGATGATCCGAAACAAAAAATCCAAACGGTGTTAAATTCAGCATGTTTATAGCTATAGCGCATATCTAGGGATTTTAAAAATTTTGATTTTAAATATATTTTTGTGGCCCAAAACGGTGAAGAAATCAAAATTTTTTTATGTTTTTCAAAAAATGTTCACCATTTTGTCATTTTTGCTAAAAACAAAAATCGTATGATATGTGCTATAGCTATTAACATGCTGACTTGTTTGGATTTTTTGTTTCAGACCATCCACGTCAAAAATTTCATCAACGGTGCACACACACTTCTTTTTTTAAAAATATTTTTCATTAATTATTTTTAAATAAAAAACAATATTTAAAAAAATTAAAACAGTTTTTTTCTTGCACTTTGAGAGTGTATTTATTTATGTTTAAAACCTCACATGTCAATATTTACAATTTAAACCTGATAAAATTACAAAACTAGCCTTTTTTAGCGCGTCTAAACTGTAATTTAAAAATTACATTATATTTAAAACTTAATTAAAATTTTATTACCTTATTATTTATTAATAGTAATTTATTTAAAAATATAAAAACTTTAATTTTTGTATCTAAATAATGGAATTCTCAAGGAACTTTCGAAAAATTATAAAAAATAATTGATTTAAAGAAGAAGTTTAGTTAATAATATTTTAGAAAATAATTAAATTTAAAAAGGTTTCAGTATTTAAATATTTATTTAAAAAAATTATTCAAGTTTAGTATAATTGAATTTAGAAATCCATAAAAAGTCAGGGAAATTACATATCGACTAAAGCGACTTTTTTTTGTCCCTTGACATCGATCCGAGGCCTGTAAATAATTTATATAAAAAGTATCTTATTTTCTATTTATTTTAGTTTTTTAACTATAAAATTGAAATAGTCGATAATTGTTTTTCATTGTCTTCTTTTTGTTCTACTTTGTTATAGGTACGTGTGAATTCAGTAAATCCTGGAGTGACCGTAACACAGTTACACAAAAGAAGTGGTATGACCGACGACGAATTGAAAAACTTTTTTGAGAAAAGTAAAGCAACACATGCCTTGGGTCGTGCTGGAGACGTGACCGAGGTGGCAAAATCTATTGCATTTTTGGCGAGTGATGACGCTAGTTTTATCACTGGTGAAAATTTGCCAGTTGACGGTGGACGTCACATTATGTGTCCTCGTTAAATATTTACATATTCGTAAATAGCCATATTTCGTAAATATTTTTAAGATATAAAAATACCTTGTTTTCATCGAGGAGTACAAGTTTTTTATGTTAGACAAACGAATGGCTATATATCTCTAAAGTGCCATTATTCTGCCAGTGGGATAAAAATATATTTTCAATAACTTGCAAAAAAAATTGAACAGTTTGAATTTAATTTTAGTAAGGGGATATTCACTTTGTTTTTGCTAAAAAGTACTGTGCACTTTTCTATTTTCATTTACTGTCACTCTAGAATTTTTCATTTACTATTTGACTAAAGTTTTGAACGTTTAAAGGTCAAACCATTTTATTCCACCTAATGTATTTTTGACCTTTATAAAAAATTTCAATACTTTGGGAAAATATTCTTATCTGTTTTGGGATAACGAAATGCATGATGATTTGTAAAAAATAATAACATTTTGTATAAAAAAGATGATTTAAATTGAGAGTACATGAAAAAAGGTTATATTGACAGACATTACAAAATATATAAACAAGTTGTTCATTTCATGACCATTTAGCTTCTTCAATATATAAATAGAAATTCGTGACGTAATTCACGTACAAAATTTTAGCAAACTCCATCTAAACATAAATATGTATAAAATTAAACTCTTTTAATTTGTGTTTTGTACTTGATAAAAGTATCAAATAATTTGTAATAAACTGTATAATATGTTATTTAAGTTTCTGTATGAAATGTCAAAAATCGATCTATGTACATATGGTCCAAAAATTTGGCATAAATAGGTTTTTCTCCAACGAAGTTACAAACATTCAAAATGAAAAATATAAAATGAAAAATGGTTAATTTTTAAGGTAAATTTTTTTCTTATTTATGAAGGTAGTAATAAAAATATCGACGTTCAAAACTTTAGAGACATCATTTAATTTTATATTCTGTTTATTTTAATGTGTTCTGATATTTTTTCTGAGGAAATATTTAAAATTTTGTTTGCTTGTTAACAATGCTTAACTGTTTTTTTCAAAATGCTTTAAAAGTTTTAGTGTGAGTGTAGAACAAATTTAGTGGAAGATAGTAAGTAGAAGTAAGGTCTGTAAAAAATTACATTCGTTTATTTTTGACAGGAGATTAAGTATAATTATTTTCAGGTAAACGAAATGCTTTTTATCGAATCAGGACAAAATGAATTTGTGAATTTCTACCTTATTAAAAAAGGTGTGTTTTCAATTTTTCAATTTATCTCTCGTTTGAAATAATAGCTGTTCTAATTTTGCAAATTTAAGACTATTTTTATTTTAAGTGATAACGCAAATTTTATTTATTTACACAATTTATTGTCAAATTCGTAACAGACTATTTGGTATTTAAATAACGTGATTCTAAAAAAATTACAATTGATTTAATTCTTTAATAGAAACAAAATTCCGCTTTTCTTTTTGTAAAATTCGTAAAATTAGAAAAAACAAAGTTCTAAACATTTTTTATTATCGTAGAAATAAATTATTTTCTTGGAAACGAAGTGAAATATAGTTGGTGTTTAGAATTATTGTATTCTCAGATACAATTAATTTTTATTTACAACAATTTACAAAAGAAAAAAACAATATGCTCAGTATACTCTCGATTGCAATATGGCCTTCTGCAATAGAGATGAGAATGTTGCATTAACTTCTTGACACAATATCTCGGCAGATTTATCACCCAATGCTGCTTGCGCAGAACTAACTCGTCCCAATTGTAGTAGCAGTCCCGTTGTATCCTCGGCTAATGGCGGGAATGCCAAACAAATGCGAGTTAACGCTGACAAAACAGGCATAAAAAGAATCACTCTATCCTTGGCTGGTAAAACTCCCAATAATGTTATCAATGTATTAATTGCCAATCGCGAAACACTTAGTGCTTTTGGAAGCGCATATTGAACAGCCAAATGCGATGCCAAATCGACAGCAAACACTTGTTTCTCAGGTTCTGGTTGTGATAGTAATTCCGGTATCCAATCGAGGCAAATGTGCATTGACGGAATTCCGGATACGGTTATTGGTAGAAGTTCTCTTGGATAACCCTGAAATTATTTTAGCAAAAAATATATTATTTTTCTTTTTCTCTAAATGTTACAAATTAAATTTGTTTCAACTTCAATTATTTGACATTTAATTTTTAATTATTTGACATTCAATTTTAAATTATATGAAATTCAATATTAAATTTAGTAATTGAGTAGAGTTAAATCCTTCCATAGTTTAATTGATATAGTTGTTGAATAAATGATCATGGGAAGGTGGAAATTGAATAAAAATCCAATGTGTATTGTCAGTATAGCGACGTTTCGTTGGCTAAGGTTTGCCAACCTCATCAGGCTGAATTTATTAAAAGAATTTTTCAATATTTATAAAGATCTAAAGAACTATTTTTATAAAAGTAATGACAATAATATTATCATACCTAATTCATTAAAACATAGAGGCACGTTTTAACTTGTCAAGAAATATAAACAATAAATAGATAAATAAATAAATAAAATACAACACATGTTCCACATTAAATAATTAAAAATAGAGTTAAAATTTAAAAAGGAAGACATTTCATTACACTGTCTCAGTGTCAACTGAAATAATATTAGAATTTAACGATATAAGAAAGTCATATTGATACGAGAAGGGGCAATGAACTTATATATAAACACAGGTTGTCAGGAAGTTATGTTATTGTTGTGTATCATTATAGGCAAGAGTCTATACATCTGTTTAGTCTCGCCAATATATGTTGCAGCTTGCAGGACAGTTTTTACAATTATTCAATTTCCACCTTCCCATGATCATTTATTCAACAACTATATCAATATTAAATGTTTGCAAATAAATATTAAATTATTTGCAATTAAATTTTTAATTCTTTGAAATTTAATTTTTAATTATTTTAAATTCAAATTTAAATGATCTAAATTCAATTTATATTGTTTGCAATTAAATTTTAAATTCTTTTAGATTTAATTATTCATTACTTGAAATTCGATTTTTAATGCTTTGAAATTTAGTTTTTAAAAAGGAGGATGTTAAAAAAGGTCAATTTTTGCCCCCGAAGCGATAAGTAAATTTCGAGTGAATTTATATAGTAATTTGAGCTCAGAAATCGAGTTGTAACCTTCATTTCTCCTAATTCCCTCGTGAAAGTGGTGAAAATGAGCAAAAAGGATAAAAATATATCATAAAATATTTTTAAATATTTTCTGGTCTACAAATAACTGCTATGTGCTTGGTTGCTATTGGAAAAGTCGGAAAATTTATAAAAATTCCTTGAAATTTGTAACAAATTGTTTTTTAAGTCGTGAGATTTAGATTTTTCCCTGATGTCCGAAAAATGTTATAGATTAAAAATAATTTAGGATAGATTAAAAATAATCTAATGATGTTGTTTCAGAACTGACAGAAGTACTTCAAATTCATTTCTAAATTAGGTTTTTGTCTAGAAATATTCTGTTGTAGGTTTTTTTATTGACAGGAAAGTCGGAAAATCTATGGAAGAGTTATGAAAATTGTAACAAATTATGCTTTGGTAGTCAGAATCAGTTTAGAGTTGAATCGGAAAATATTTGAAAATTGTGGAAAACTCTGTAAAAGTCAAAATAGTAAAAATAATATATTAATATTATTTCAGAACTGGCAAAAGTTATTTAAGTTAATTTCTAAATTATTTCTTGGTCTGGGAATAACTGTTATAGGTTTTTTTTATTGACGGGAAAGTCGGAAAACTCATTGGAAAATCTTAACAAATTGTTCTTTAGTAGTCATAATCAGTTTAGGGTTCAATAAAGTCTTTTTCTTTCAGTCTGTTAATTTTGCCTATATAAGATATTTCTTTTTTATTAATTAAAGCACTAGAATGAAACGTAGTAACAATGTTGTTTTAGACATTTTTATTATTAAGTTTTTAATAAGAATTGGTCACCAGATTTCGAAAGCGAAGAATAAAAATAGAAAAAAAAATATTAATCGGACCTTTTCAGGGCTACCTAATGCAATTTTTACGAATTTTTCCATAGATTTTCCGAGTTTCCCGTCAATAAAAAACCTATAACAGTTATTCCCAGACCAAAGAATAATGTAGAAATGAATTTGAATTACTTCTGTCAGTTCTGAAATAACATTAATAGATTATTTTTACTATTATGGCTTTTCCGAGATTTTCACACATTTTTCGGACATCAGGGAAAAATCTAGATATGATTGTAGATGTAAAATATTGTTTGAAATTCAGTTTTAAATTCTTTAAAATTCAATTTTAAACTCTTTGAAACTTAATTTTTAATCATTTGAAATTTAATTTTGAATTATTTAAAATTTATTTATTAATTAAAGAAACAAATTTTTAATGAAATTAAACTCAATTGAGGCTCCGGATCTTAAAAGGGCACTTGTATGATTAATTTTAAATGTTAAAGGTGCCCTCTTAAGATCCGGCGCCTCAATATTAAATTGAAAACTACCTGAAAATGGACTAATTTTGCTAATGAGGGATCAGCGATGAAAATTTGATGCAAATATGAACAAATAACGCTCCTTATTTCTCGTAGTGACCACATTTGACCGGGAATAATTCGATCTTCTTCTGTTTCTAAACATGCCTCTAGAAGAATTTGAACTGCTGCACTTTCTTGACCGGCCACCAAAGCCGTTCTTAAATCTTCTCGTTCAGCTTCACTCGTTAATTGACCTATTTTTTCAGTTAACGGCCTGTCTTGCATGTGCCTCGAAAGTTGCGATCTCGATGCTGCCAAAGTTGCTTGTAAAATTCTAAAAAGTAAATAATTTTTCAATTCTGCTTACTAATTTTCTTTGCAAATTATTAATTTTCCAAATTCCTAAAATTTTATTTCATAACAAATTAACAGGGATCGTAGTAGTTAGCCTTTTTTTACGTAATATTTTTTTTCTTCCTTAAATAAACAGAATCCTCATAAACTACCTAAAATCATGCATTTATCCTGTTTTATTTTTTTATCCATTTTTAATTTTTTATCCATTAAAAAAAATTACTGAAATCACTTTTTTGTAATTTATAAAATTTATTATTTATGTTAAAGAAAAAAATTTCCCTTTTTTTGCAATACTATCAAAAAATATTGTATTAACTTTGCAGAAGACTTTATATTTTTGAATCTGATTCATTTTTAATAGTAAATAGATGTTAAAAACATGTTTCATTTTTATTTTTGATATTTTTTTCTTAAAAATATCAATTTTAATAAGTTTGAGAAAAAAATTTGCTTTATTAGAGAATATTCATTAAATTTCTAATGCAAATGTTTTTTAATATATTCAATTATATTTTTATAATTTTATATTGCAGTTAACCTAACCTTCTAAGTTTAACCCTTCATTTTTCTCCGTGTACAAATAAATATTTAGTTATTTCAAAAAAATTATTTTATTGATGCAAATAAATATTTATTTTAATTAAAAACTATGCATTATTGAATCAAGTAATTTTCATAATTGATTTAAAGCAATGTTTATTAGATCAAATTATTCCATTTAATTGACTTAAGTAATTTGTATTTGGTTCAAATAACTATTTATTTCATACCATAAATTAAAATATTTATATCCAGTAAATATTTACTTAGTTCAAATAAATAAAAATAAATAAGTAAAAACAAATAAGTTTAAATACAACCGAACGAGCGTCAGCGAGTGAGGTATATGTCGCTAGTTATTTATTATATGTGACGCGATCTGAAGAAACGGACCTTAGAAACAAAAAATTATAGGTTATGTTTGCAAATTTTTGAAATGAAAATACAAAAAATGGACCAATTAAAGAGCTGGATCAAAGAACCGGCCCTTCGCTCGTTCTTTGATCCAGCTCCTCATTGTCAATATAAGTAATTGATGTTTAAGTCTTCTTTGCAACTAAAATATTTAATAAAGTTTGTAACTTTGTAGTACTTGGGGTACTAAATAACTGTGCCAAACAGTTTTGCAAAAAAAAAAAATTTTTTGCAAGATATTTAGATTTGAAAAATCCCCAGGCGCGAAAGACCAATGCTGACGATGGATTGAAGCTTGATTCAGTCTTGAACGCCCAGCGTGGGTAACCCAGTGTTGAAGCAGTCTTTATATCACTGTCACTCAATATTGATTCAGCATTGGACACCAATGTTCGTCCCATGCTCGATTCAAGGCTCGGTCAATCTTCGTGAGTGAAGCTTGAATATCTAATCTTAATTCAATTCTGAATCAATCTTGACAGTTTATTTATTGACGTGTGCATTTAAAAATATCAAATATAAATATTTATAAATTATTTAATATTAAAATATTTTTTATGATAATTTTATATACTATTTAAAAATTATTATCATTAAGATATCAATTGGTAAATAAATATTAATATTTATTTAGTATATAATATTTATATTAATTAATAATAATAATAATTATATATTATTATTATTATTATTATTATTATTATTATAATAAGAATAATAATAATTATTATTATTATTATATTATTTATTATTATTATTAATTATATAAGATTCATATAAATAAAGTTAAATTATATATTATTATTTTTTTCTTGCTCAGTGTCAAATTATTGTTTTCAAAATCCAAGAGTTTCGTTTGTCTGAAAAATTTTCAGTAAAAAAAATGTTCATTAGGGTGTAATAAATATTTATGCCTAGTAGTTTCACACTAGGATTAACTGTTTAGTAAATATGTATTATCAAAAAACTATTTTTTGTAAAACGCGTGCGATTAAACACAAATAACCTTGAGACTTTAGCATTGCCAACTTAAGAGTTTAACGTATGTGTTGAGTTGGTAATGCTGGAGTTTCAAGGTTATTTGTGTTTAGCTGCGCGTGTTTGCCAAAAAATAGTTTTTTGATAATATTTACTAAACAGTTAATCCTAGTGTAAAATTACTAAGCATAAATATTTATCACTACCTAATGAACATTTTTTTCACTAATAATTTTTCAGATAAACGAAACTCTTAATCTTTGAAAATAATAATTTGACACTGTACAAGAAAAAAAATATATATATAATTTAACTTATAACATTATCATAAAAAATATTTGAATATTAAATAATTTATAAATATTTATATTTAATATTGTTCAGTGCACACGGTAATAAAGAAAGTGAATATTGTATCAAGATTGACCGAGTCTTGAATCGAGCATGGGACGAACATTGGTGTCCCATGCTGAATAAATATTGAGTGACGCTCCGTATATACAGAATATACGGCGCTGGCATGAAATAGTAGATTAGGCGAGGTGCCTTCCAGCCTTCTGTGGCCGAGCGGTTTAAATGCGTGCGTTTAGGACTTCCGGTATGCGTTAGGGGCGGGGTGCGTGAGTTCGATCCCACATCTGAGCGAATATTTTTCATTCTTTGTTTTAAGCGTTATATCTAATAATAAAATTGTGTGTTGTGTTGTGAATAAAAAATGTGAATATGTTTGTAAATAATATTAAAAAGTCTGCTGAAAAATCGAGAAAAAAATGTACCGATTAACAGAAAAATTGTTTTCTTTTACTAAAATTATTTTTTTAATATTACTATTTCAAATGACATTTATTGTTAGTAATATATTATTTATATGATAATAATATAATTATTATAATAGTAACTTAATGCCATTAAATTAACAAACGCATATAATATGAATAAAAATAATAACAATAATATTCATGACTATTTTTATTATAATTATTACTATTATTATTATTATATACAATTTATATATCTATATTATATTGAATGAGCGCGAGAGACGCGTAAATTTGGGAACAGTGGAAGCAGCCTTGTTTCAGTCCTGCATTAGGGTTCCGCAGCATTGATTGAACATTGAACGCCAATCTTCAACAAGGACTGGAGCGTCAGTCTTAAATAAGTGTTACATTATGGCTAGAAGCAACCTTGCTTCCGCCGTCCCACCGAGGCTTGATCAATGTTGACCAAGCCTCAACGAAGCTTTCGTACAGCCTGAACCCTGCGTCAGTTCTCACCTGGGTCGGAAACTGAAAAAAATGACTTTTTTTGAGAATTTTTATTTCGAAAACTATTGATTCTACAAGAAAAAGTCATTTATTCAAAATTGTAGAAAAAATGTCAATTTTTTATAATATTAAAAAAAAGTTAAGAAAAATTAACTTTTCAATAATTTGTTTAAACAATAATTTTTTATTGTTAAAAAAAGAGCAAAGGACATCATGGAATTTTCTAGAAAAATGATTTTCTCAAAATTTGAACCTTCCTTAATAAGTGGTTAAATTTTTAAAGAAGTAATTTTTGATATTTTTGAGAAAAAAATTTTTGAAGTTAGCGCTACGAGTTTTTGTGCGTTCCGCTAACTAAGCAGCGCCTATATCAGTGTATTTTAAAAGATGATTTGACCTTTACTGCTCGCCCCTAATACATTTATTAATTATATACGTATATATTATTATTATAAACAGTTTAACAATATATTTTTAACTTTTTTATAAACATTATTTTCCTTTTTTAACCCATTAATGGTCATGGGCACAGGAACGCATAATATAAAAAGTAACTATTGGGATCCTGGCATAGGATCATAATAATAATTTTTGACGTTAAAAATTAAAAAAAAAAATTTTAAACAATTTGTTATAAACAAATAAAGAAAAATTGATTTTATTATTATTATTTTATTATTTTATTTTTTATTTTATTTTTTTTATTTTATTTTATTGTCAATTTATATCTAAAAAATGTTAAACTGACATTAAAAATGGAAAAAACAGGCAGTCCACTCATGGTTATAAACAGTGGTCCACTCATGGTGACAAACAACTTTTTATGGCAGCCATCACAATTTTTTTTTAGTCAAAATTATCACTAAATTAAACTAAGACAATCAATTTCAATGTCCAAAGCAGTAGGAAAAAAATAAGTTACCTTTTAAAACTTAAATTTTACACTACTTTTACACTTCCAAATCACTTTACTCATTGAAAGAGCGACTTCTTTTTTGGTTTGTGTTCTCAAAAATGCGTTACATCAAACGGTAACGTATATGATTATCGCGGAACTTAATTTCTTACGGTTTCTAGGTGCGGTGCTGCTATTCGCACTATTTATTTCATGTTTCCGCTGTCAGATAACTTAAAAGCTCAGGCGGTCCACTCAAGGTGACATTACCCTATGGGGAATTCCACGTGAGATTTTAGTCGACAGTGGGATTCTTTTACAATTAACTTTTTAAAACTATCTACAGCGTAGACCCTTTAATTTAACACAAAGAACACAAATAGATTAAAATTTATACGCTGCAGACAGTTCTAAAAAGTTATTTGTAAAAATATCCCATGTGATGCTTGCAAGTGATTTTTGAAAATGTTTTAAAACTCATTTAACACATCAGGCCCATTTCGGGACTTTTTGGAAACTCTCCTCTATATTATAAGGTATAAATAAATTTAAAAAAAATTTTTTTAAATCCGGCCCAAAGTTAAAAACAATTAATTTGTTTATAAAAAAAATTTTTTGTTTACATTTCTTAAAACTCAAAAGAAAACTAAAACTTTCATTTTTTGACAACTTTTTCCTAAACTCAATATTTTCGGAATTATAAGCTACTGAATATAAGTCTACAATTACAAGTCAAAAATTTCGAAAATTCATAACTCGAAAATTTGTACAATTAAACAAAAATAAAAAAATACAAATCTAATTTGTTTCGATACAGAATAGAAAAAAAATATTTTTTGGCCGATTTTAAGAGATGGACTTAAATCTCACGTGGAATTGCCC